GCACTTGTGCCGTCCCCCCTAAGCCCCACTCGCAAATGAGGGGGAAATTTTCCGATAATAACCGGTAGTGTGCTAGCTGCGATTTTAACGATTTCTGTTCATCATTTATTATGACGAGCGACATGCAAGTGCTAACATGCCCAACATATGGAAGCTCTCCGCGGGAGGGCCGACTTCAACTGCGGCAGCTACTTTTAGATTCCCCCCCCCCCCCCACTTCTTCCATTCTGTCAGGATGACCATATGCCTGAACAACGTGACTCCCGACATGCAACTCCCCCGTTGCTAATGGGCTCAGATAAGCACTCAAGACACACAAGCAATCCAGAGGGATGCCTTCCACTGCAAGGAAACCAATGTGAATCGATGGCGGCCGGATGTTGTGAAAATTGGCTGGCGCCATCTAGCCGGTGGGCGTCCCATTTTCGCTCATATCGAGACAAAAACGGATTTGTCGGCCAAGCAATGGCTTGTATCTCGAAAAACTCTCGCAAAGCACCAAAAACACCAAATAACATTTGAGTACTGGTTGTAAAAAAAAAAGTAAACCATGGTCCGAAATGTACCAGCCGACTTAAGACTGGCCAAACAAACAAACATGACCACAGACTTCGACATTTTGTGTGAAGAAAAATATATTACAGCAGCCCGCTCCAGTTAAAGAAATTTCCATTAGCGCTTTGGAACGGCAAATGATTCAAACGAATGACACCAAGGGTCATGTCGGCCGCTTCGGTTTGAAAAATAGACAACTCTGCCCCCGCCCGCGTGAATAATAACACACGTACACCCGTGTAAAAAGAGCGCGCAGCCTCATAAACAAACCCATCCAACTGCAATGAGAGCACACATGACGTGTGAGCAAAATATGCTCGCGCTTGGCCACAAATGGTGTTTTTCTGGCGTCTGCGTGACTGCGTGTGTGTGAGTGCGTGTCAGGCGGAGAGGATGTGAGCGAGAAAGGTAGTGAGGGGGTTGGTTGATGGTGAGTGGGAGAACGGGGGGGAGAGACATGTCGCCCTGAGCCGCGACTGACAGGTGCAACGTGTTTCGGCATGACTTCATCGGAAGAAAAGGAACACATTCGGCTGCAAGAGACCTCGTTGCACGCGGGGGGGGGGGACAGGGGACAAGTCTCTTCCCATAAGATGTCTGCCCCAAATATTAGGTACACCTGTGAATGCATGGCGGTAGACTAATTTCTCTTAATGGAAATTATTATTTATGTACTGTATACATACGCTGCCCCCCCCCACCTCCTCAGAGAGGATAAAGAATATATGCCCGTGACTGTCAGTAATATATCTGTCTTCACGTGTTGTTTCATTGGTTGTTTTTAAAAGCGTTACTATCGACGCTACCCGTTAGCATGACAATGGGTTCGCACTGTTTGTTGGCATTTGCGTTGCTTTCGGTTTGGTGTGACAGTAAACTACAAGTGGGAGTGGCTTGAAGCCTTTGAGGAAATATTCAATATTTGACAAACTGCTGTCAAGTTGGCGCTACCAAGTCAAAGCGAAAAAAATCATCCGAATGACGGCTCGTATCTCAAGAAAAACTAGAAGTCGGGTTATCTGTGTCTGAGTAGATATTGTCACTTCATTAGTTGCACTTGCATTGTCGAACGAAAGATCAAGTAAAATGCAAGTATGTATTTTTTCAAATTCAAAGGCATCATGTCAAAATAATGTTTAGATTGTAGTAGTTGTAGCATAGTATTAACTTCCTGGCTAATACGCATCGTAGGCTCCAGCCAGCGTAAGCGAGTACGGATTTGACCTGCTCCGGATATAAAGTCGCCACGGTTGAGCGGGCGCGTCCATCTGGCTGCACACATCAGGTCTGAGCACGCTCTGGGACCACACAGATGTCCGTAGAGGTCCACAGTTCACTGGCCGGCATCCGATCCAAACGCACAAAACTCTACGGCAAACTTTTTTTTTTTTAATCTACCGTGAGCATGAAAGCTTGATGATCAAAACTGCGTCACGCCAAACTTTGATCAGCACATGATGGAGACTTGAAAGGTGACAGCGGAACACTCGTCCTCGTTTCCACTCGGCGGTCCTTTGTATCGGTGCCGCACTCGTTCAATTACTGAAGGCCGGTCTTTTGCCAAAAGCCTGAATGGGACCTCCATTAGGGCTCACGTTGACATTTCATTTCTGGCGGATCTTATCTGGCCAGGTGACAAAAGAGGATGATTAATCGTCTCTTTGGAAAGTGGCCAGCGACTGTAACATGGCTACAAAGGACACTTAATGGCATGGTTTGCTGGAGGGGGTGGGGGGGGGGGGTCCAGCCCGACCATTAGCGGTTGTAACAATGGCCGGCCACGACATTTGCGGTTCCCGGGCCAAATGAATGAACACAGTTAAAGGTATTACTTAATGTGCTTATGCGGGACTCTCATAATAAGCTGATGTAATTTTCTTCGTCTTTTCTCTTTGGGTTTTTTTTTTGAATGCCAGAACAAATTATATCAGAATGAATATCAGAGGACAAAAGTGCTTTGAGGCAGTGTGCGTGTGTGTGCACGTGTCTGTGTGTGTGAGTGCATATTTAAACGGATTCCCCGTTGTTTAAAATGATCAAAATGACCCCATTTTACCTGCAACGTCGCTTTTAATTTGGCCGTTGTCTTTGGAGTTCAAAAGCACAAAAGACTCATCGCCACGCGCCATTAAGTGGGGTTAATTGTATTTTTTTTTTTGGGGTTAGACGACGAACTTCGCATCTGCCACAATTGTCCTTCAGAGGAGAATGAAATGCTTGAGTCGTCTCGTTCCGACTCCACTTTGGCTGCTTTTGCACCGAAGAGAAGAAGCGACAGTCATTACTTTCTTTTGATAGAGCGAGCGCCGTCAACCTTGGATAATGAATCCAACTTGAACAGAGTCATGATTCAGGTCAAAAGGGGCTCTGGAGTTTGTTCAATAGCTCAGCCCCCTATTTTTAATGATCCCGGCTTCTGATTTGGGATCATCTGGGCAAATTATTTGGAATTAAATGCTGTGTTGACTTTGACAGACTAATTTGACATGGGCGATATGGCATGACTCCTTCTTGTGACTTCCTGGTCAATTGGAGGTTTTTGAGGCTTTTATGTAAATGTCACGATAGATATCCGCTGCCATGTTGATTGCCCCCCCCCCCACCCCTCTTAACATTCCAGGGGGTGCTACCGAGTGAATTTTGAAGGGGTCGAGTGAGGACCACCGTGAAATACATACAATTTCACCGGAATACACACTCTAATGCTCTCTTCCGTCTCTAAGCGATGTTCATGCCTCGTTTCTCGCCGCCATCAGGCGCAAGCTGACAGGGTAGCGGAAAGAGAAAATTGCATATTATTTACCTGCCGCGTTCAATATGCCACTTTTCCGCTATACAGCCCGCAGCTTAAAACACACAAAACGGGCGCATGCCGGGATGAATGCAAAGGCGCGCGCACACACACACACACACACACACACACACACACACACACACACACACACACACACACACACACCGACTAGCTGACGCCTTAAAAGCCGCGCGGCGACATTGTGCCCTGACATGTCATTAAAAGTTGTCACAGGTTCCACAGGAGTGATTTTCCGCCTCGGGATGAAGCGCTGGTGGATGTGGACCATGAATGCGGCACGACGGAACCATCCGCGAGAGGCGGCTTTCGGTTCCCACCCGAGGAGGTCAGGGTACCAAATTCCAAGTTGCCTCTTGTCATGCTCGGATTGGTTTCCCCCGTTTTTTTTTTCCAATCTTTGCAATCTTCTAAACCTTCTTCTTCTTCTTGGCTCAAGCGCAAGGTGAACCGGGGTCTCACGTCCCAGGAATATGTGAATGGCTTGTTCAGACAAGCGGAAAAATGTACCCCCCCCCCCCACACTCAAGCCTACTTCTCCAGAATAATTCCGCTCTCCATTAGAGGGTGAGATTGCTGGACTCAACGGTTTGGAGGTTTTGGACTCACATGACTTGCAGCGGACAACAGTCCAACAATGGCGGACGGCCCCGAACAACGATGATAACAGCCTTGGATGCGTAATCCGCAATTCTATATCTGTATAGACGGGATGACGCAAAAAATGGCCAACCACTGAATTCTAATGGTAGAATCCCACGCACAAAATGCAATAGGATGACCCGTGAAAAAATTGATTTTGTGGGACTTTTGTGTACAAAAGTACAAATCATCCTATTCACTAATGAAAACACTCCCATAGAATGTTTGCTCCACACTGTTTTTTTTTCTTCACTTTTCAGCATTCGAGCTGCAGTGTTCCTCCCCTTCCAAGAATGCGTATGGTAAAGTCCTGTCCATCTAATTCATCCAACATCATTCTTCATGAATCAGATTTTTTTTTTGAACAATTAAAAAAAAACAGGTCGAACTACATCATAAAATAACTAAGACGAAACGACAAATGCAAAATCAGGTATAATGATTATAGGTGCCAACAGGGTAACATTGATTTTGGACGTCTGATGCGGATAATGCGGGCCGGCGCGCTCCGCCAAGTAGGCATCGCTCAGGACGGATGACTCTTGGGATGAAGGACGGCCAGCAATTCATCTGCTAATCTCGCTTCCATTTTTAACTAGGCCGTAAAAATCAGCGGCTTTGTATTCGCGGCGCTCGCCTCCGCAATCAATAAAAATCTCACGGCCCCGAGGTTGCAACCGTGCTCTCTCTGCTTTCGCGCCGACCCGGGCCGGAGACGACACTCCGACCTTAAAGGCTTTCTCATCGATTCGGCGTGACGTGACAATTTTGACCTGCTCTCGCCTGCTGTCGATATCCATCTTGAGGATGGAACCTTTTGACTGTGATGAACTGACTCCGACAATGGTCTGACACCTCGCGGACAAAAACCTATAAACAAGGGTAGCAGCTGTGCGTTTGCCCTTAGCTTTCTCATGAGAAACCGAGATCACATTTAGAGGAGGAAACATTTCCAGAAGTGGGACAGCTGTATTTCTTCATCTTTCCTTACCTGAACTCTGGAGGCGGAGTCGCGTTTGATCCATTTGATTACCGTCTCGTACACCAATTCCTCGGCTTTGGTGTTGAGGCTATCGTTGGACAGGTAGGCCACCAGGTCCTCCTTGGACACGCTCAGGATCTCCTCCTGTCCCGCCACCTGATCATCGGACACAGAAGTGGATTTTTGTTTTTGGATGCCTCTTGCCCTCATGACACTGTGACTCAATCTGCAAACTGACTTTGGATTATTTGCGATTTATTGCGGCACTACCTTCTCAGTCTACCTAAAACAGATAAAACAGCCAACACCTATGTAACGTTTTAGAGTCATATACCCGTTTATACCACTGCCGTTCTTTTTTTTTTTTCCTCTGTCTGCCCCATCTCAAACCTTGTTCTGTCTGACTGCATTTTCCAATAAATATCTAACCCAAGGAGGAGTATATCAGACCCCCCCCCCACCCCTTTCACAGAAAAACTGCCGTGCCAACATAAAACGGTATACGATCATTTTGCATGACCAAGCAGCCAAACAGGAAATAGTTTAAAAAAAAAAAAAAAAAAAAAAAAGCTTTCTTGACTCAATAGAATTCATTTGACTCAAAAGGTCTGCACCTGGTACAGAACATTAGTTCTTGCAAATGAAAATGAAAAACCTGAATTAAAACCTAAAGAACATCAGGCTTGGGGGTTGAGGATGCGGAGTCCATATTCTGCCTCGAACAACTTGCGTCAAATAATAGAACAAAATGATGGTGTGGTTCCTGTTCCTACCTCTGGGAAGTTCTGCAGCGCAAAGGCTTTGGCCATGTTGTGCAGCTCTGTGCAAGTCATCGCCTCGGCCATTGCCAGCACTCCCAGGCAGTTTGCCGCCGTCAGCTGTTTCTCTGCAGCCCACGATGAAGAAGAATTTCAAAGTGCATTCATGAAACTATTCGAGCTCAACAACAACAAAATGTGACTCATTGACGCTTATATGATGCAAAACAAAACCCAACGGAAAATCGGGTCATCGACCAGATCGTGAAAAAGAAGACGAGAAATAAGATGAAGGTCAAGTCAGAAGACCCACGAGGGGAGAACACAGACAGACCGATGAGGTCGATAGCGAGATGGCACACGTCGAAGATGATGTCGAAGGATTGTGTCACAGCTTATCTGCTTTCTAGCTACCTCGACACGTCTAATAACTCCAAACGCCTCCCGGGACAAACAAACAGGGCGGGAATCGATCGCAGGGAGGAGGATTAGGAATTAGCCGGGGAACATTAGAGAGGTAGATCTTAAAATGACCAGCAGGGGGAGGGCTCGCGGACCCCTCTGATCTTTCGAGAAGTTTGTTTTTGACGTAAACAATCCAAAGAGAGGAGGCAACTTGTGCAATCAACATGCCATCAGACGCACTGATCAACTGGCTGATTAAATAATCGTCCTCAAGAGGGACCCATGCCAGGCCTTTTTTTTTTTTTTCTTTTGATGGGCAAATGCGGCTTGCCCGAAAACAAATAGCGATCAACAGAGGCAAAGCCAAAACACAAGGCGACGGACGAATGATTCCACACCGAAACGGCTGTGTCCACAAGAGAGTAAATGCGCTGGTGTTCATGAATTGATCATGCTCAGCCATTGGAGTGACTGTCGGGCCCCACACGCAAAAACGAAAAATCGTTTCCCTATTGGTCTACTAATTGTCAAACATAATATTTGTCAAGGCCAAAAATGACCCTGAAAAGCTCACTTCAGCCAAACTGTTTTTTGCGACTGAATTCGACGGAAAACTCGCTCCCCCGTCTTGAACTGTAGACTTAGACTGCCAACTAGTGGCCTGGCATGCACACTACTACCTGTTCACAAATGGCACTGAACCGCTTTCGAGATTTTGATGCGAACAAATGTTTTCCTGCAAGTAGCTGTCGTGCGGTGTGAATTAATTTCAAAGAAAAGCAAAAGTAGGTCGACGAGACAAGACGGCGCTCACATTTGACACACTCTTCCGCCTCTCTCAAGGACAAACGCTTGTACCTGAACACAACCGTCCCAGCCCCCACTCTAATGTGCTAAAATGTCACAAATCTTGTCGAGGCGGAATGAATTGACGTCTCGGAGGAAATGAAGTCGACAAATGGCTTCCATGTTTGCTTTTTTCTTTGTTGTGTTGTGTGGCCCAAATAGAGAAAAACAAATCAATAGGCGCCGTTTGTGCTGTTTTCTTTTCTCCGCTCGCCCGCCTCTGACCTTTTTGTCAACATACGCTTCCCTCATGTTCGCTATACCTCAAACAACTCCTGAGATGGAATGCAAATACTGACATTTGAGGCTCTTTTTTTTAATTTATTTTTTTTTATCGTCCCCCAAGAAAGGCATTTCCAAACTTTAGGTGTCACACCACCTTGTGGTCGACGCCGCCGATCAAATTTCATGTGACTAGGTGACACTGACTTTGGAGGCAGAACTTTTAAACGCAACTTTTCAGAGTTGCGTGTTTTAAGGTGAATCATTAAACGTTGCCGCCATGCCCTGCTGCCCCACAATAATGAAAAGACAAGATTCTGGAAATGTAGCATCTCGTATTTGTAAGTTTAAATTTGGTAGCACACAGACAAAATCTTGAGGTGTTTTGTCTGAAGGCTGCTCGGCCATAAAAGTATTAGTTGTAGTTCAAATTTGGTAGCAACTTGACAAAATCCCCCGGACAATACTACCATTGAATGTCCCCCAGAAGTACCTAAAATAAAGATGAAATGGCTGCTTTGAAACCAAAATGGCTGACTTACCGAGTCTTTCCAAGCATGGATTTTAGAAATTTTTTTTTGTGGGCCAATGTATGATTGACAACATGCTTACCAAATTTAATGTTGGTAAGTGAAACTGACCTTGGAGGCTGAATTTCCAAGCTCAATTTATTAGTTTGGAATTTTAGAATTACATTTACAAAATGCTACGTCCAAAAAGAAAGCTGAAAACTTATGAGTTTTTATTTTTTATTTTTTATGCACTGCCTGGATGTATGGTAGCTAAAACGAGCTGAAAATGGATGCTTTGAAACCCAAATCTCTGACTTGTGCCAATTTGGGCATGGATTTTCAAGACTTTTTTTTTGTCGGTCTGCACATATTGGACACGCCTACCAAATTTCATGCAGCTCGGTGAAACTGGTTTTAGGGGCTGCATTTTCAAACTCAATTTACTGAGTTGAATTTTGTATTTTATGGCGAATCATTCTAATTTGCTGCCAGGCTCTGCTTTTTCTCTGGCTCCTTTCCAACACTTACCAAAGCAATGAGCCACCAAGCCTTACAGACAAAAGTTTTAGTCGACACTTCCACCTCATGCGCACCCACCTAGGAAAGAGACGCAAACTTTGCAGAAGGTGTTGAACTGGAACTTATTGGCGGCTTCCAAGAGCGTCTTGGCGTTGGCCGAATCGATGACCAGCGAGCCCGTGTAGACAAACTCCAGCAGCTGCTCCAGAACTTCGGCGCCGATGTTGCTCATGCTCAGCTTCAGCATCTCGCCATTGCGCGTCTCCCCCAACGACCTGGTGCGACCAATCGGGACACAGACAAAGAGAGGAATTGGGTTTCAGAGGGCGAGCTACCCCGGGGCGATAGGAGGGAATGTGTGTGAGACATAGGGAGAAGATTTTAGCGGATTTCTATTTATCTGAAAATTGCAACTAGTGAACTGCGAATATGCGGGAGATTACCTCTATATAAAACGATTATACGATACCTCCCCCAAGGCTGAGAGGCGCGAGGAACAGAGTATGCTCTACTCAGGCCGGGCTCGGATGACGGCGATTTGTCCACGCGGCGGCGGATGCCCGCAGGGGAGATATTAGGGCGTTTAGTAACACTACAACACCCATGTTTAATGTCCCACGTGAAACAATAATCCACTCAAGGGCAAAATAAATGGAACGCCCCCCCTCCCACCTGCAACCACTTTAACTCCCCTCCCTGCGGCCACGGACATATGAAAAGTGGTCGGCATTAAGATGGATGGAGGTCCTTTCCGTGCGTCAATCAAGATTTTTTTTTTTCTTTTTTGTTGCTGCTGGAGCCACTTTGCTGAATTAGAAAAACAGACGCGCACAGCATTGATGCTGTGATCAGCAAAATTGGGAAATTGCCCAGCTTCGGACTAGGACGCAAAAATCTCCATAATCGTCGCAGATTCTATATCGGTGATCTTCAAAGTATTTTACGAGTACTATTATTATTATTTTTTTAGGTGTTAATTGGTGGAAAAGGTTGGAAAACGACTCTTCTATGTAAAAGATTTATTCACTACATTTCCATGGAAACCTGCTGCCAAATAGATGCCACGCTCCAATTAATGGCCGGTTGTTTTGTCCACGTGAATAAACACCATAGGGAAAAAAAAAAAAAACACCTCCCTTCAAGAAAAACAAATTACAGAGGTAGACATTACTGTGATGCACAAACAATGCCTGGAGAAAGGAGTTCAAGGAGTGGTGAAAAAAAAAGTGTATGTGAAATGTGTAACATGCTAAAATGCTACATTTTTTTTAAATTTAGAATTACAATAAAACAATTACTCAAAATATTTTTGACATTTCGAGTAATTGGTCAAAATGTTTCCCATTTATTTTTTTTACTATAAAACACATTTTAAACTTATTTCAGTGCATATCATTTATATAATTATGATGAATTCTCAAATTAGCTCATGAAAAATATTTTTTCCTTAATTATTCATAATTTTTTAAAAAAAAGGAATTAATGTTGAAATCATAAAATTTGGGGAAACAGCTAAGTTACTGCACTTTTTTTTCCCTTTTTTTAACAGCAGTTATAACGAATGCTTGTCAGACCAAAACTGGACATCAAACAAACAGGATGAGATGACAGCATGGTGGGAAGAGGGAAGGACATCAAAAAAAAAAAAAAGAGAGAGAGGGAAAAAAGGGTGAGGCAGGGGTGAGACGGTTCTTCCACAGGGAGCCAGCAGCCATCCTTAACTGGGAGGGTTTGTGTTGTTCCATGACTTTTCAATAGGAGATAAGACCAAACAACTGTCACCCCCCTCCCCAGCCAAAAAAAGCCCACCACCATCACACCTGCAGTGATATCCTGTCGTGTATGAACTCAAAGACATTAGTCGTCATTTGAAGCACACCCAGTGAGGGAGGAGGTGAGGTGAGAAGGACATCCCAAAATAAAACTGAAAAGTCATTTAATTATCTCCGCATAGCTGAAAACACCCAAAGTTTAAAAAAAATAAATAAAATTTACCATATGATTATTGTTCTTATTTTGTTTAATGTTTTGTCCTCCTGCAAAGCAAAAAAAGCCACATAGCGTTATTGACCTTTATCCCGCACAAAGGCCTGCCTGCAGGGAGGGGGGAGCGGAGGGCAGACGGGCAGGTGGGAAGAAAGAAAGGGAGGAAGAGGGGAGGGTCAAAATGGTGGCGGGAGGATGGGAAGGAAGAGCTATTAAAACAAAACAAAAAACAAACAAAACATTAAAAAAAAACAAAAAAAACATCAGGCTGGTCAGCAGAAAACGGCTCGAGCGGCCACGGAAATAAATTAGGGATCGTCTGAAAAAAGGGAGATGAGCTACACCCGGGTGGCGGAATCTGTTTGTGAAGAAATTGCTACTTTTCCGAGAAGGGGGAGGAGAATGGAGGCCAAGCGCAGTGCACACACAATGATGAAAACGTACAATTCAGGCAGTTGAGCATTTGTACATCTTGTCTTCAGATTCGTGATTTGACTTGGATAGCAGTTTTTTTTCCATGTGGAGTATGCCTGTGAAGGGCCCTTTGGAGTGGGCAAAATGACACATTTCCAAACAAAATGGCACCCTTCCTCTGTCTTTTTGAGACTTTTTTTTTTCGTAGGTGTACTCATGTTAAATATGCCTACCCAATGTCATGTGAAACTTAAAGTGGCTGCGGAGGTCAGAATTTTCAAACGCAACTTATTAGAACGACCCCTAATAATGGCGGAAATGAGCCTAACCAAAATGGTCGACTCCCTGCGTCTTTTCAGGAATGGCTTCTTGAGGCTTTTTATTTGTGGCCCCACTCACAATGGAGCTGAATTTTCAAAACCAACTTATGAGACTTGCGTATTTCACCATATCCTAAACGTCTTTTCCCCCCCAAAAAAGTTACTTTGTGGAAACCACTGTGACATTCTGCCTGCAAAAAAAAAAAAAAAAAAAAAAATTGTCTTTAATACGAAACTCAGTGAAGAGGTGACACAAACGGCAGTCCAAATAAAAGGGTGAAGACTTGCCTCGCTACTGCGATCAACTAGAACAAAGACTATGACATAGAAACCTGAGGGGAATTGGACAGAGTCCCGTCCTCCCCCCGGGGTGGGTCGAGCAGTCGGTTTCACACAGCTAGAGAGGACGAACGTGTCAGACCGGCTCGGAGATTTTTTGCACCGCGTGGTCGTAGCGATCCAGAAAATGTGGACGGATGCCATCAATTAAATGCTAAGCGAGCACACTTATTGGAAAATGCGGATGGCTGAAATGGAATTACAGGCCGTGATCTGTCACCCTGCTCGGCGCACCGGCCTTTTAAGAGGAAGGGTCTTTTTTTGGGGGGGGGGGGCTGCTATTATGAAGCAACATATTTCAAAAATTAGTTGGAACTCGTACAAAAAGTGAAAAAAAAGTTAACTAAAAATAAGGCTAGATTTTATTGTTAAAAACAAACCAAATGATGTCACCCTAAAAATGAGCAATGCTGAATTGCAAAAAAAAAATAATAAGTATTGCGCGTGGAGCATGGCAGTGAAGTTTGATGTGTTACTCTAAAACACAAAACCCAAATAAGTTGCGTTTGAACATTCATCCCCAAAGCCAGTTTCATTTATCAGAGTTTGGTGAACCTAGACAGACCCACAAAAAAAAAAAAAAAAGTCAAGAATCCATTCCCCAAAAAAAGTATTTTGCTCTGAAGACGGTATTTTATAGTCACTATGGGCTACTTCCATAGCTGCTTGAAAGACAAACTCCTGGTCGAGATTTTGTCATGTTTGCTTACAAACGGCGAGAATTTTTGCCATCGCGTGTCGGCTGCGAAAGTTTGATGACCGCCATCAAATACAAAACTCAAATAACTGAACTCCACTCAGTCAGAGCTTGATCATCATACACACGAATGCAATAACTCGACTCCGCTCGCCTTCAATCTGCTGTTTGTGTTCCCACAAAGGGAACACGAAGCAACATTTTTTTTTTCCCCAGCAATACGGTCATCTCATTTACGACCCTTAAAAACATCGCTCGATCGTGAAACATTGGCGCTGCTCGTCAAATGGGAAATGTGGTTAAAAATGGGTGGTGAGGGGGTGCGGGGGGGGGTGGTTGCAAGAGATGAATTGTTGACCTTTATCTCCAGATTCGGATACATTCATTTGAGTGTGGGAGTGAGGGGGGTGTGTGGGGGGGAGAGAAGGAAGGAATGGCTGCTGGCCCTGTGCTAGAACCAAAAAAAAAAAAAAGGTCTTGACGCACCTGCAAGAAAGATGGAAAGAAAGAACAAAGAGAAAGAGGGCTGGGTGGCAAAGTGGGGGTTAGGAAAGCGACACAAATGTGCCCTACAAAAAGAAAGCGGGTGGGATCAAGGAGGAGGAGTGCTGTCAGGAAAAGGCAAACCTTTTGACCAGGTCCTTGAAATACAAGCTGCAGGAAGCTAGAACATTTTGGTGGACTTCAAACTCTTTGCCTTCAACAATTATTTTCAGGTCTGTAAACTCTTTCGCTCGCCGCTGCTGGTTGAGCTCCTTCAACATCTCTGTGGGGGGGGAGGGGCAAAGAAGGAGGAGAAGTAGAAAAAAAAAGGAGAAGAAAAACAGACAGCGACATTTTAGCTTTGGAAGTTGTCTCGTTTGATTTTTCAGGACGGACGTGAGAATCAACAGCATTTACAGGGGAAGAAACATTGAGCAAAACCATGTGCGGCAAAATTTGGAATCAAAATGTCATTATGGAACATCTCTGATGTGATTGCGAAAAGAAAAAAATCATTCACTGAGAATTGTGGCATTTTGTTCTCATAACGATGTCTCATTGAAAGAAAATTAAGCTTTATTACTTTTTGTACAAATTACCACTAAATTCTGAGCTAACGAGTACTTGGATGATCAAAATGAACAAGGTGACCCTTGAAATTTATGAGGGGGGGGAAAAGTATGTTAGCACTATTCTATATTTATTTTGAGTCCTACTACAAGGAAAAAAAAAGTGCATTTTCCAATGAGGCGATCTGCTTTTCCTCAACTGGAATTATCTGCACCCCGCAACGGAATGACGACCACCGAATTGGGAAAGAGTCACGCTTGGAGCAAAACGATGCAAATTTGGGATCGTAGCGCCTCGTCGGACCAACTGCGGCGTCGGCTTGGAGCTGCTTGTCTTCCTGGCGTCTTAATGAGGCGCCATCAGGGGGGATGCTGCGAGGGAAAGTCGGCGGGAGGTGCGGTGAAGTGGGGGGGGGGTTTTTTTTCATGCTTTTTTTTTTTCTCCCCAATCCAGAAGGCCACTTTGTGAACAAACACAAGCCATAACATGGGCGATAATGATTACGGACGCACTTCTTTGCGCCGTTAAAGCTTCTCATCGCCAGTGCCGGCTGCGAGGGACGATTCATTCGACAAGAGCGACATTTGGTCAACAGTGGAGTTTGCAATGCGCCAAGGACAAGTCGTGCAACCGGCGGGAGAGTTTAAACAGGACACGCGTTCAAAAAGAAATTAATCGGTTCAAATTTAGGAAGCCTGGGATTCAAAAATGGACTAGAAACGACCGCGGTTTTACCAAGTCGACCCGTCAAAATGACCGTGACGTTTCAAACGGCGTCATTTGCACTCGGAACTTGACGTAAATAGCACAAATGTCAAATTATTAAATGGGAAGAGCATTTTGGACAGTACAATAGGTCCTGTACTTCAGGCATTGTTCCGCACCCCCCCTCCCAGTTAGTTTATTTGTTATGGTGAATTTTAGAGGTGTCTGAAGTGCTCGTTTCATGTATTAAAATAATTACTATTATTACAGTATACATATTTTTTATTTAAATATATGTTTCGGCTGGGATTATACAATAAATTTTTAATAAGATTTTTTTTTTTTTTTTTTTTTTTTTTGGGGGGGGGGGGAAAATTTCCAAAAAGATGGAAACCACTTGTCATAGCAGAGTTGATCTTCTGTGTAAGCATGACAAAAATCTATTTCAAACAGAGAGAAAAAAAAAACTGCTCGCAGTAAATTCTGCAATAGGAGAATTGGCGTCTGGATTTTAAGTGCAACAGCAGTATTTTTTTTTTCCACTTTATGGAATTAATGATACGTACAAGTCCAAAAACGTAACAGTTTGAATTGGGGGGGGGGGGGAAAAAGACCGCAACCTGTTTCGAACTTAATGTGTTGCTGGCGGGCACTCGAGACATTTTGGACGCCTACTGAATATTTCATCCAAATAAAAATACATGTAGCCTTCTACTCCTAAGGAAAATGGTGGGATATAATAAGGAGGGTTCTCGAAATCTTCCGACTGGATGCACAGCTGCATCTCTTTGAGGGCTCCGTTATCCCTCCCCGAAACACAAAAGCATTCCACTCCAGCTCCTCTTGTCAGCGGGCCGACTCTCTGACGACTGTCGGCGCTTCCCGACAGTGAATAGTTTGGACTCTCCTGCAAAAACGATATGGCTCTCGCATCCAATCATCCACGGCGCATAACACCCCTTTACGCCGTGAATAGAGCCCCTCGAGGGGGGTCCGAGGAGCAGACAAAGGCCGACTCCCTCGAAGCCATGCGGACACACCTGATGGCCCGATAGAGGAGCTAATCATGGCTTCCAAGGGGTGTCGTCGGGCGGGAGGATTTGCCCTGGAACGACCCGTGAAACTACAAATGGCGTAGCCCATTCTTCAGTGCGGGGGGACGCCAAACCTACGTCTCAATACGAAAAAGATGCCCTGAGGGACGTCAAGTGGAGTAACAAAGACCTATGCTAGCTCTCGCCTTTCGGTCGCCAGGCGGACGAGTTCAAAACAGGACCAAGCCAGCCCCGATTGGTTGCTTCTTGGCCTAGTAACGCCGTCCATGTCCAATCGGGGTACTCGGGTAGGGCCAACCTATCAGCGGATGCCGATGCTTCGCCAATACCCCCCCAAACAAAAAAAAAATGACGTGGCAAGACGCGATAGGTCAGCCATAAAGGTTGCGCGCCATTGGGTGCCGATCTCGGAGCCATTTTGAGTTTCGGCACAGGTTTGACAGAAGAGGGGGTGGGCGGGTTCCGCCATTTTGTCGTCAAGGCAAAATTTTGGTGGGCTTTGTGATCACATGGCGACGTTAAGATTACTTCACTATTAGGAATTGTCTGGAAAAAAAAAATCGGATTTTCTTTTAAAAATGTCATATTTTTGTATTATTAATCTTCAATGCATCCAATACTGTAAATTATTCTTTGATTATTAAGGATTTAAAGCTATTTTTTTCCCGGTCAAATTTTTGCCAGAGTTGGTGAAAATTATTTTGATATTTTTATTTGGAATGTATTTTTCACAGTATTATCCTATACAGCACAAAAACAGTTTAAGTCCTGGAAGGGGTTTTTCATCAAGCCTTCACCTTATTCCGATATTAGCAACAAGTCTACAAAAACAATTTCTATTTATTTTTTGGGAGTATATTTTTAGCGTGATTGTTCTATAAAGGATAAACACAAAATTTTGAATGATCTATGAATTAAGAGGCTCTTACAGTATTCTATTTCACCAAACAACAACAAAAAAGTTGAAAAAAAACCCCAAAACAAAACAAACAAAAAAAAACCCCACAAAGAAAAATAAGTCATATTTTCTGACCCTGTTTTGTCCTCTTTTAAAGATTCAATAGTAAAACGCTGCTTGCTTAATTGGCCGGAAAACAAACCAGCACCACGAGTCGATCAATAATTCAATATAGAAGTCCACTAAAATGTTTTTATTCCGAGCGTAAACCGACAGGAGCATGTTTTATGGCGCACATTAAAAATGGAATCAAATCAATGTATTAAAAGCATTTACACCGCATGTTCTGCTTTTGAAACAAGAGACTCAAGCGTATAAAGCGGATTTTTCATCGCAAAAAATGCAGTTTACTTGGTAAATTATCGGTAAATCATTTATTTCATACTTTAAGTATATAGGCAAAACAAAGCACGCGAAACTGGGTCATTCTATGGTAAATTTCAGAAATAATTACAAGTTGTATTCTTGTTATTGATTTACTAATTTTACACGTTCAAATCTAATGACAAATAAATGCATTTGTCACAAATTCCAATACTAAAAAAATGCATCGGATGCGCAACAATATATTTAACATTTCAAGACATTTGAGAAAATTCATTTCTCAGGTATTAACATTTTATTTTGTTTTTAATATTCCAAATACACACTTGAGAATTTAATGTGAAAAAAAAATGTTTGTTTTTAAAGATCGTATTTTATTTTGTATTCGGTAAAATTACTCCCTAATTTTACATGCAAAAAATAAACGATCTAACATTGACCTAATTTTCTAATGCTGAATAAACAAAAAAGAATCAATCCAACTTTAAGTGTAAAAATGTTGAGACATTTTTTTAGCTGTAATTCTATAGAATAAAAGGCAATATTCCATATATAATTTTCAAACAAACAAACAAAAAAATAATCAAAGGCTTGCAAATGTTTTTGGTTGCCTGCGTATCGAAAACAAGCGAGGATCAAAGCCGTCGGTCGGTGTCCTTGTTTCATCGCGTGGCCACGTGACAAAGTCAGATGGCTTCAAAACAATCCTCTTCCCAATCAGCCGCATTCATTCCGCAGGAAATCCGCTCGGATCGTCAACAACTTTGCTCTCGCCGCCTGGGAGAATAGTCCGCAAAGACGCCGTCGCTTTCAAATCTTATTTTTACATCCTCTTTACAGCCGAGAGTGCCGAGTTAAGAAGCTACTCGTCACGGGCGCGTAGGTGAGGGGTGGGGTGGTCGATGGTTGCAAAGGGGGCTCCCCCCCCCCCAGCCCAAGTACGACGTAGGGGCTCTTTAAAGGGGACCTGGACCCCGGCGGTCCAGAGGTCAGACGTAAGGAAGGGCAAATCCGAGGACAAGCTCGAAGGGAAAGAAAGTGTGTCAAGGACCCCAAGAGGGGGTGTGGCTTTAATGTTAGCCCAACCGAAAGGGAGAAGGGGGCCGTAGGTGACATATTAGCATAATTGGAGTGTTGAAGGCTACAGGAACACATAAAAAAAAATATATATATATATTTTTTGTTTGTTGTTTGTTATGATGTTGCACCACAGGAATGAAAAATGGGACATCACTGCCAAAACATCAAATTATTTAAAGCAGGAGGAAAAACCGCGCACACACCAAAACAAACCCCCCCCCCCCATGCAATAAATCAAGTCATGATGCCTCTTTTCTGTTTTAAATATTCCAATAAAGGATCTCAACTACAGAAATTCTATCAGCTACAACAATGTCTGTTTTAATGCCATTTAGGGAGTGTTGAATAAACATAAAATATCCGACATCATCTATTTGATGAATTGAACTCGATTATGGTGTAGGGAATTGATGCAGCGCATAATTCTTAAACGGACACAAAATCAAAGGGATTTTGGCCATTTTCTTTGTTTTTCCAGTTGTGCATCACGGGAATAACGCTGAACATGAGGACAATGTCAACACCGCCCCTTGAACAATTAAAAGCAAGCAGGAAGCTGCAAATAAGGTCGGGATGTCCATTTCCTGCTCC